TCCAAATCTAGGTTTTCTCAAACCCAGATTTGGGTTCTCAAACCAGCATTGAAAAATCAAAAATGTAGTCGCAATCGAAAGAAGGGTGGGATCTTACCTTTGATTTCCATAGACACAGCGGATAAGAGAGCGAGGAGGGTATGTAGAGGCAGTTATTGATCGGCAAAATGTCGTATCGAAGATAGATTTAGGGAGAGACAGGAATTGTAGGTAGGGAAAAGGTTCAATGGGGGAGAGGACCTTGACATTTCGAGGGAAGCCTCGGAAGCCTATAAACTCTCTGTCACCTACTCTACCACAGCATAGTGGTGTAGCTTCCCCCTCATCCTTAATTTTGACTGGGAATGGGATCGCGGGAGCAGTGAAAGGGAAGAAGAAGCCAAGAGGAGCAAGGCTGCGGATGAGGTTCGACAGGGATGGGAAGTCGAAAGTCATGGAATTGGATAAGAGAGCGATAATCAGACATGCCAAATTTCTTGCTAGGGATTTGAGGATTCTAAGTCCCTTGTTCTCTCAATCCTCTAATATTCTTGGTAGGTTTGATTCACTTATATTGTTGTTGTTTGGATTTGTATGTTTTCCATATCCATATTCTTTTGTATCCCAAAAGTTGAATTCTTTTGAAAATGGCTCTTAGATCACACTTCACAGTAAATGACTCTAATGGGTTCTCAAACCCAGATCTTGAGAGGAAAAAGAAGGGAGAAGGGAGAAGAGAGAGAGAAAGAATAAGAAAAAGAAAGAAAAGGATGAGTAAGAAAAGGAAGGAGAAAGGTTGACAGAGAAATAAATGATGAGGCAAACTGTTGAAGGATTGAGAGAGAGAGAGAGAAGAAAGGAGGAAGAAAATGAAAGTTTTTTATTTTTTACCAAATCATAAATAAAAAAATATTTTAGTTTACACATCATTTAAAAAAATATATAAGAATTGATATTGTGGAAATTTAATGTGCCACTTAGCACTTTCGTTAATAGAAGGATCGGTTTGGTATCGAAAATGAAAGTTTAGGAATAATTTTGATATTTTTTAAAGTATAAAGACGATTTTGATACCAAACTCAAAAGTTGAGGGATCAAAATAATATTTTAACCTAAATTCAATTTGAGTTGTTAGTTTTGAAAACATACTCCAACTCAATTCTTACTAAAACACAAGTCGAGTATAGCTCAATTTAAATTCAAATCAAATTAACTCATGAATAATTCAACTGATTTAGAAGGTACGAACTTCAATCTCATACTTTAATTTATAGTTTATTGTGCATTAAATAAGAATCTCACAACCGAAGTTTAGGCAATATATGCAGAGAAAATACAACAGATCATACAAACAAAAACCAGTCCACACAGAACCAAACTTACAATTCCTTAGCACACAGATATCTTGCTACCAAGCACAAGAATATAAAAAGGGAAAACAATAAATTTTTGTGAGCTGCAATACTTGAAAATCTTTTAAAATTTGACCATGTAACTACTCAACCACCACCACCACCACAGCCGCCTCCACCACCACCACAGCCGCCTCCACCGCCACCACCATATCCTACACTCCTGCGAGGCTTCTGACCAGAATCACCACAAGCAAATACAACCATAGATATGAGAGAGAGCGACGCAACGATCATGCAGATCAAGAAAAGGCCACCACCTTTGCTATCCAATAGAAAACCTCCTTCCTCTCCACGAAAAACGATCACATCTCTTGCCATCTTTAATTTGTGTCAATCTTCTGCCAAAGGTTGACCTATATGTACATAAAATTGCGCAAACCAGTACCCTATTTATAATTAGGGATAGAGCTAGAAATTTATGTTAAA